CATGATAGTGTAGGTATGAAGTTAGTAGTATACGTTTGATACGTTGGGTATATAATTATTTAGTATTAATTAGTATATAAATTTAATGTAAAAACGTGGACATGAGATAAGAATTTAACATAAAGTAATGATGCAAATATAATTTTATCGAAATAAAGACCGTTACAGTATAGATTATATTTTATTTGTATAAGAATTTAATATAAAGTAATAATACAAATCGAATTAAAACGATAACACTATTTAAAAATTGTGCCTTCTGCTGTACAGTCCGTACCGTGAACTAAGTCATGTCGACCCCACTTTATGGTTATTGTAACGGGATAAGAATGTACGTGCCTCCATCAACATAGTGACTATTGTATCATTAAAAATTATTTCTTTATTTTGTACAAACAAAATAAATATATTGAAAAATATAAAAACAATAAAAAAATTATTCTTCAGAAGTTAAACTCTTTGTTCAATGGTACGGATGACATGTGGGCTCTTAATTAACAATGTCAGTTTTTTTTAATCTGTAGATAATATACGATTGGAGTTTAAAAAAACGATTGGTTCTTAAAAAAATATGATTGGTTCTTAGTCTTAAAAGAAAATATGATTGGTCGATAGTTTTTAAAGATGATATGGTTGGTTATTATTTTATATAACTTACTTTTTTAAAAAGAATTAATTTTATATTTAAGCTGCAATCATCAGGATGTACGGTTTTCGAATTACTTACAGAGGCTATAAAAATTACTCAGTTTCTCCAATTCTATACAGAACTTTGGACACTTGCATTTCTGCGGCAAAAAATTTCTCGTTTAATGTTCCTGATAATTTTCCATTTCTCTTCCGCTATTTCAAAGTCAAAGATATTTGAAAAGAAGATGGAAAATACGGTTTTATAATTGTTAGCGAGGATGGAGGAATTAACGAAGTATGTAATGGATTATACGGTTCGTTCCAACAATGTGCAGAAGACATGAGAGAAACATGTTTAGAAAATGATAAGAAAACTTTAGTAATGTTTAAAGAGATAAGTCCAGGATTGAAATATTATAAATTTTCTAAATTTTCTAAGTTTGACAAGGTTGATTAATATGTACTTCAAACATCCCAATACTTGTGTAATTGTCAGTCCTTCCCAATCTAGAAAAGCCACATCGATGAGAAAAATGATTAACAACAAAATTTATGAAAATCCTCTAAAGAAGATTTTATTCTGTACTTCGTATATTTACCGTTTTTTCGAGAAGAAAAGGATATCACATTTATGTACGGATTACCCGAATCTGTTCAAGGATGGGATTTGACAATAATTGATGATCTGATGCATGAACTGTTTCCAAAAACAACATTTTTATTTACGACAGAATCTCATAACTGCAATGTAAATGTGATTTTAAAAAAATAGTTTAAAAAGTCAATTGTTTTTTAAATCTAGTAATTAATTGTATTATCTACAAATTAGAAATATATCGCAATATTTCTAATATCGTTAATAAAGAAAATAACTTACGTTCTGTTAAAAAAAAAAGTCCATGTGTGACGATACGTTGGTAAGTCTATGAACAAAAAAATTACTATATAGAACCAGTCCACACAACTTATTTCGAGGGGACTGCTTTGGGTAGTAATTAACAAAATAGATTAAAAAAATGCAGGATGGCTTTGATTATCTGATCAAAGTGTCAGTAAAATAAATTTAAAAATGCAAGTCTGCTTTGATCAAGGTGTCGCTAATAATTAAAGAATGCGGTTCAATAATTCGTTAAAAAATATATTACCATAGTTTGCTTGTCTATATTCGCGATATCAATCATATTTTCTTAAAAATCTAGAACCAATCGTATATTATCTACAGAGATCAAGGTGTCAGTAAAATTAACAATATAGATTAAAGAATGAGGTCCAATAATTCGTTAAAAAATATATTACTACAGTTTGCTTGTCTATATTCGCGATATCAATCATATTTTCTTTAAAAACTAAAATCCAATAATATTTTTCTTTAAGAACCAATCGTTTTTTTTTAAATTCCAATTGTATATTATCTACAGATTAAAAAAATAAACTGTCATTGTTAACAGCCCACGTGTCATCCATACCATTGAACAAAGAGTATAACGCGCGGTCGACACGACTTAGTTCACGGTACAAACTGTACAGCAGAGGGCGCGATTTTCAAATATTTTTAAATTGTATTATCGTTCTAATTCGATTTCTATTATTACTTTATATTAAATTCTTATAAAAACTAAATATAATCTATACTGTATCAGTCTTTATTTCGATATAATTCAATTTGCATCATTACTTTATGTTAAATTCTTATTTTCTGTCCACATTTTTATACTAAATTTATATACTAATTAATAATAATTAATTTTATAACCCAAAATGTATTGAACGTATATAATACTATTGCAAAAATACTGTGTAAATAGTTAAATATCATTGGAACTACCATAGATTTAACAAATGCATTGTGTTTTGATCTAAATTATTAACAGATATTAATAAGAAAATTAAATAGTTAAACTTTTTTTTATGTTATTTAATCAAACAAACTTTTCCATCAAATTATTTCATGGCAATTACTTCATTTCAGCAATTGAATCTTTCTCAATCTGTTTCTTTGTAACAAAATTTCTGTTTCTCTACACTGTTTTTGAATCAATCTGTAAATACTTTTGCCATTTTTTCTGAATATTACCATTTTCTTTTTCATCCTTTCATTATCCAATTATTTTTTCTATTGGATATATTTTGTTTTCACAAATAATTGAAGTAAAGTAGTAGTGCCGATTTTACAGCAAAATATCATAATTCCATAATAAATCGATTATATTAAAAATATTTGTAGTTATGTTTGAAAGTTTAAAAATTTAATTTTATCAATATTTTATTTTATTTTTTGCAAACAAATATAACAAAATGGCTAGTGTTTGTGTTATTCAAAAGAAACAGTAGTATGTAGACCTGAACATTAGTCTGTAGTATTGGCATTCTCTTATAAAAATGCCGATATAAATTTATAGTTTATACGTTTTCTTATACTTTTTTTAAAATTTTTGCTTAACTGACATCAAATGTTTGTAATAAAGTGCAATGTGTTAAAACGAAATCCGTAATAATCTCTGTACAAGCTGTTCCGGCAAGTAAAACTTTCAGATAATTCCATTTTACTTGTTTTCAATTTGATAGAGTTTACAAATGAAGCAAAATTATAGTATTTAAAATTTATTACTATAATTCATTAATGATAAACACTTTTAATAAGAGATTTTAACCATTCCTACGTTTGGAAAATATCAGGAATCAATGTAAATAAATAGATTTTATTTTCTGTATAACTTATATAATCAAATAATTGCTTATACATAACGTCTTTCTTCTATCTCAGCGTCCTAGGTACTGTACATGAAATATGATGAAACCGAAACACAAATAACAGGTGGAACGTTTTTTCCGATTTTTCAAGTTTATCAAGATAAACTAAGATTTAGGTGAGTTGCAGAGTAAAAGTGATCTTAGTTAAAAACAAAAATTGTCTTTCGTTTGGGTTTTAAGAGTTATGTACTGTTAGCGAAAAGAATAGTTAAAAACCATCATTTCTGCTAAACGTACTCAACTCGAAAATCGATCGCTACTTTTTTATCATTTATGCAAACCATTATAAAATTCTCTTTATATAATAGTTGGTTTTAAAGAGTTTAATGAAATTTTAAACAATACAACATAGAAAAAATAGTGTGGCTCTAGTCTGAAAATTAAAAGTTATTACGCTTTGTAATTGATTTCAATGTTATTTATGAAAGGAAAGGTTTTTTATAGTAAAGTTGGATCAAATTTTTTAAAGCATTAAAAAGTCTAAATTACTTAGAAAGATAATTGACGATCAACAAATACAATAGAATTGAATATATATCTTTGCGTATTTGATTGTATTATTGTAATAAACTTTAAACATAAATATTTTGATACATGACATGCTTCTAGTAATCACAGCTGTATCGCTTGAGTATCTCAACTGCTGCATATGTAGTAACAGTTGGCATGAGAAATATCAATCGACTATATATCGTAACAAGAAATACACAAGGTATAGAAGTTAATGTTTGCATGAATGTTGCATTTGACAGACAAAAAATTCACATAGTCTTTGTGACAAATGTACAGAAAACACAAGTGCAGTATGCAAGAAGGTAACAGTTCATACGAGTGATGGAAATATACTGACAAAACGAAAATACGAGAAAACAATACATTTGAGTATAAACGAAGATTTAACAGAAATAGCTAATAGTTCAAGTTTAAAATGCAGAATGAATAAATTGAAAACAAAATATTTATATATGGCAAAAAGCAAAGAAAAACAAACGAACAAATTCGAACCTAGAAGAAAAGTATAGATATGGTTAGCACATGTAAAATTCGAAGATATAAAACCATAATAATCTAAGAACTGATAAATACGATATTAAATATAATGAAAATTCATAAACCAGAAGAAATGAAAAATCCATTTCTCTGTATTGATCGTGAAATTCTCTAAATCCCAGATAATTTCTATTGTTAGATAATAAAGGAAAAATAGAACAATTTATTAAATAGGAAATTATAATTACCGAAGCGTAAGACAATTTGATCATTATAAATTGACAAATATGAATGACGTTTGTATGCTGCTGCAGATGCAAAAGTGTTAGTTCCCATTATGCTATTGACAAAAAATCAAATGAAAAATTTCCAAATATATAGGTATTTCGTGTGATTTTGCAAATACCAAACAATTGGAAAACAGGATCCATTTATAACATGCGAAATTTTCAACTAAAAATTTTTCAAACTCGCAAACTATGTTAGACAGAAACCATAAATGATGTCGTCTGGAGAATTTTCTTAATTTTGAAACAATGTAAGGGCGAAACCGTGTTGCATAACTGCCGATTTGTACGAAAAATATCGGTATTTTACTGAGTTATCGATCATCATAAAATGAAATCATTGCACTATTGTAAGAATATGCGGTAATATTAAAATTTTTTTATTGATTTCAGATATTATATAAATAATTTTGGTATTTGTGAAAGATATATACAGTATAAATAGTTAATTATATTCTTATTAATACCTATGCTGAAAAATCTTATGTACATATCTAAGTATAAAATTCAATTAGTTATCGTGTAGTGTATCCGATTCCCACTCAACTAGGGTATTCAAAATATAATGGTACGTGGACTGGAATTACAAAACAAGTTGTAAATCAGGTGAGTAAACTCAAAATACAAGTAAGTTATGTTTAAAATACTATAACAATTAGACAATTAGGATGTGATCTCCTTTACTAAAAAGAATCAGAAAAAAGCAATTTTTTGAAGCGATTGCGTTTATCAAATTATGTAATTTTTATACCAAAAAATAATTTACTGCCATAACAATTAAGTAGTAAAACTTATCGATTATCGCTAAAATATTCATGTGTTTTTTAAAATGTTACCAAGAAATTGTAAATAAAATTATGTATAACTTATGTATAAATCAAATTATAACATGTCGCTATTAGTTAAAATTTCGTTTTAAAAAATCGAAAATTTATTTTTATACAACTTAAACAAGTTCCCATATATATTGTACACTTCGTGCGTTTTTATTTCTACAATAATACAAAAAATTAACAAAAAGAAACATTCTGGTCTGCAGACAATAAACCCTTAAAATTGCTACAAACAATATTGTAAAGTATATTAAAATTTAATTGTAAATTTACTAACAGTTTGTGTTTTATAATGAATTTTATAAATTTAGGAAGCAGATATCGCTTTTGTACCAACGGGGATCACTTACGATCTTTTTTCAGCGATACAGTTTTCGTCCACACTTGGACTTTCTGAGAACATTTTTATCATTAGAGCTCCAAATAAAGCTTCTGATTGGAATTCTCTAATGAAGCCTTTTGCCTTGGACGTAAGTCACTGTAACATCTTAATTCATATTATATTCAAATTGAAACTATATTACTTACGTAATTAGATATGGATCGCTGTATTCTCAACTGTATTAATATTTGGACTGTCCCTGCATTTAATTCTTAAAAAGGACTTAATCGTTGAGAAGAATAGAAAACGTTGGACACGTTGTCGAATTTTTTGGGATTTATTTTGCACATTATTGGGTCAAGGTATAATTTATTAAATCAGTTATGTTATAGTGTTTATTACTTATGTATTTTTCTATAATATTAATAACTATTAATTAGGATTAGATATACGGAACGTAAAAACGTTTGCTTCTAGATTTATGATAGAAATTTGGTGGTTATCGATTGTTGTTTTGCTATATGGTTACAGCGGAGGGTTAAAATCCTTTATGGCATGTCCTTTAATTGAATCGTATCCTAAAAATTTTTACGAACTTGGCACTTTTGTTCGGAATGGTGAGTATTCTTGCGGAACAATGAAAATATTAAATGTATGGAAAGCTATTGAGGTAAGTGTGTGGTAAAAATTCAAGTTTCCTATTTATAATTCGTCTGTTTTACACAGAAATTATTACTATTTCTAGGAATCGAAGTCAGAAAATACCAAAATTTTAAGAGAACACATTTTGTCAAATAATAACTTAATGAATCCGTCACAAGCCATGAAGAAAGTACAGAATGAACGATTTGCATACATAGCGTCTCAATATGTTATAAATCAGTACATCAGTAAATTAGAAAAGAATAAATATATAATGTCCACAGATTCTCTAAGTACATTAACTGTTGCTTATCCAATCCGAAGAAATTTTCTTTTCAAGAAAAATATAAGCGACACGTAAGAAAAATTTACAATTATTAATATATAAAACAATTTACGTTCACATTTATATACGTATAGACGTTTCTTTCTAGAGTAAATCGCTTGTTCGAAGCGGGAATTGTTCAGAAATTGTTACCAAAAGAAATTGAAGAATTTAATGAAGAGTCTGTATTTCAAGCATTATCAGTCGAAGACATTAAGAGTCTTTTGTTATTCGTTGGCATTGGTTATTTGTTGTATATAATCGTCTTAGCAATCAAAATAATATACACAAAAGTTACAAAAACTTTTACTCGAAATTCCCTTTATTAATTGTAAATTTACTAAACTAACTAAATATTATATTTATCGTTTTGTAACACTGAAACGTAAAGTTCTAATGGATATTTATTAAATTGCTATGATATGTAATGTAACACAAATGTGAATTTTGCAGTATTTAGAAAAGATTCGAACACTTAAGATACTGCTGCACAAATTCTTCTGATGATTGAAATTTATTATAAAAGGACCACTTATTATCTATGGAATTTTCTCGCATTTTAAATAAGATAGAACTAGAATTGCTTCCCCAAATTCAGCATTAGGCTACAAGGCTAAATCGTAAAATCTTTAAGTTGGAAATTAAAGTTTTAATTTAAATAAAGTCATAGAACTTTATTTTTTGTTAGTCGTTACATCCACGTCTTACAATAATTTTGTTTGGTTAAAGGAGATTTTGTAAAAAAAAGAAATTTACAATTTACAAAATAATTTAAAATTGAAATGTAAGAAAACATCGTTAATATGTCTTTTATAAACAAGCTTTTGATTGAGTCGTTAGATGGTAATTTCAAATAAAATAAAAATTATTTAAACTTTCACATAAATGTTACTTCGATAAATAAAAAACAATAAAATAAAATTTAAATTCTACTTTTCTCTTATTACTGTAAGATATTTTCATAATTTCTCACGTAAAAGTACAATGATGAACGTTAAATTAATTCCTTAATAAAAAAAACACTTAAAAAGTTTCTGTAAATGGTCTGTGATCAATAAAGAGTTATTCTTTTATCTCTTATATTAAGTAAAATTGAATCCTCACTTTTGTAATTTCTGTACTTTTAATATTTTAATATTGCAGACAAAAAGGCGACCTGCAGAGAACACTCAAATTATTGTTTCTATCTGTTCTGTTACGAAAAACGTCAAATAGTTGAAATTATTCTGAAAATATACACAAATTACGAGTAAATATATACTGCAGGTTAAAAGCAGAACATAATTTGTGAAAAGTATATAATATATTTTTAAACTATGAAACGTCCTCTATGTTTTGTTAAATCTATAAGTACTTTGTAATACGCAATTAAATTTACAGACATAACGCATGCAATTTCACTTCACTTCATTTCAACCTTCGATAGAGGAGTGCTGCAGCTCGTCGCTTTTCACTCCGGAAGAAACAGTAAGGCCGATCGCACAGCGACCGATGAGGCGGTCTTATCTTCGATAATCCGAGAAGACAGGAGAGGGGTCACGAAGTGACAAAAGCAGGCTTTATAAGAGACGACCCCCGCGAGAAAGGAAGACAGAATGCCTTCCGGAAAAACTTGGGGGGAAAGCTGGCCCTATTCAGGCGTCATTGGCAAGGAAGAGACTCCCGCCAGCTCGTCCGAGTGAGGCGCGAACCCCCCGATCAAACTCCGGTGTTTAGAGTCTGGTCACCACCATTAAGCGGAGTCCGCTCGGCCACCGGTGGCCCTTCATGCAATTTCACGACACATTTACTTTATAAAATCATTTAATAACCTCGCATTAAGACCTTCATAGTAAAAAATTTTATCTGTTTACATTCTATTTTATCAACTTATCAAAACCACAGGTTTTGGCATTAGCTTTTCTTTGAATTAACGAAAACATAACTGAAAACAAAACTATTACTATGTATTAATTAAAATATTAATGCTAAAAACTAAATATCTATACATGATAAAATAAAAAGTAATTATTAATAATTGTATATTTCTTCGTTGTAAACACGGCATTCACTCCAACTTTAAATTAATATACAACACTGATGTAGGAATATTCAGAATTCTGTTTTTTGACGAGTTTAGTCTCAGACATTTTTTTCGCCTTTTTTATTGCTATTAATTAATTTAATTAATAATATAATGCTCGACCTACTTTTATAAATATATTTGTATTCTATTAAGTTTTCTTTATGTAATATATTATAGATTTGCTTCTATTCTTATATATTATAATAGAACATGCGTGCACTAGATTTTGGCTTTCGGATAGACATGCATGCACTAATCACGCAGTAGGAAAAACCAGAAAAGGACTGATTTATACTGGTTAATTATTTCACAACTATAAGTGTTTTAGACAGTCTAGCTGTCTTTCTTCAGCTGTCATTGTTACAAGTTGTGAGTCACAACTATCTAAATTACTTAAGGTCAGTACTTAATAAACAGTATCATAGACAATTAATGACAGTAACGTTATATCACTTCGTTCGAAACAATGCAATCACTCGAACTTTACAATAAAAAATATATTTAGTATTTTATTATTAATGAATTAATTTATTTATGTAATTTACATTTATTGTAATAAATGTAAGTATTTTGGTCAATCTAACTGTTAGTCTTTTTTCATGCTTGTTTCAATATGTATATTACTTCAACTTTAATTTACAAACATTATGATAAATAATTAAATTAATTTTCTAATGTGCAATAATAAACGTATTTTGTTTATGTACAAACGTGGTTGCTTTTTTATGAATTTTTCTTATTGTGTATAATCTATTTATAAAGTATTTTCCACTGTTTCAATAGACAGTTTAAAAAGTTACTCGTTTTCTGCTTTAAATAATGTAGGTTTTCTTGCAAACAAAAGTATTCATAATGCAAAAGTTTACCCTTTGTTTGGCTTTGTGTGTTTTTTCCCTTTTATATTTTATTCAATTTTTATATTCTTTATTTCTATATGCCTTTATATTCACTACTATTGAGCTTTATTTAATTCTGTTAGAAAAGCTACGTAAAGTATAGTATTTTTCAACATTTTGAATAGATGTATTCTCTGGTTTAAGCACGATAGAAATGAAATTGCATGTTTGGTTTCGATTCATTATAATCTTTGTCACGACAAATATTTACTGCGCTGATTTATTTAAATTTATTAGTATTATCTGTTGTACAGTCTCGAGTTTGTATCTGTAAGTTTGTATGGCAGCTGAAAGATGCCAATTTTAATAACGTTAAGTAAGATAGAAATTAGAAGTTATTATTATTAATTGTTTAAAATTATCATACAAATGGATTTCAAACTTATCAATATTCTGATGTTGTTAACAATGCATATTAATTGCATGTTTGGCACAGGTAAGTTAATGTATATTTTAATGTTTTTGTGTTTAAATCCAAATGATGTTTATAATTAAATACCTGAAATTATTCAATTAGCTTTTATTATTATTTAATCTACTGTGTAAAATAATACAGTGTAATAATTAACATAGCCCAGTAATTAATATTATACGTAATATTAATAATATGTAATATTATAACGTAAAAATTATGATTTTTGGCATGGATGGCCTGAGTTTTTATATAAAGTATTGATTCCTCAATCTATGAAACCAAAAACACTTTTAAAGATTCACTTAATTCATTTAGTAATAGAATTATATATATACTCTAAAAAAAGATTCTTTATTTTGGCAACAAATGAATGCTAATATAGTCGAAATTTTCAAAATTAGCAAGATACCTGCAACATTTGCTCCAGTTCAAAACAATCAATTCACGATATACGCACTAAATTCTATCATAACCATCGAGTAGAGTGAATATCGACATTTTTAATTATAAAGCAAAAAGTCATCCCATATTGTTAAACTAATACTCTGACTTTTCTAAATCGATAATTTGAGTGACATGACTTTTACAACAGTAAATAATTGTTGCAAAGAACGATATAGCAGACATGGTATACCTGACAGTCCAGTCAGTGACTAAAGACTGACAGCTTGTTATTGATGAATTCTGAATGTTTGCCAGAGTTTGCGAATTTCACCATATATTGTCATCTCCCTATTACAGTCTGATCTATCGAAAAAGTAAATACGGCAGTAAAAATAATAAAAAATCTAATGAAAAAACTTAATGCGATAATAAATACTTGTGAAAAGGATTATTAGATTTTAGAAATACACCTACACGTAAAAGGAAGAGTAACCCTACTCAGAGATTTATCTCTAGAAGAACTAAGACAGTACCTACCAATAGATAAAACGCTACTAATTCATCTTGTAGTTGACAAAGTAGCAAAAAAGTTATGAGAAAACATAGTAAAGCAAAGTATTATTATGATAAGAAGACTAAAACATTGCCTGAAGTAATACGCAGTCAATGAAGTTGTTGCGTCGTAGATCGATGGCGCAGCTCCGGCAGTAGCTCACTTAATATGCCAGGTAGCCAATCTTTTAGCAAAGGCGTAAGAAGTGGACTGGCTCGATTTGAGCCTTAATAGGGGTGAGCAATTTAATTACAGGAAAACAAAGTAAATAAAACGTTATGAAGAAAGAATATAATGAAAATAAAAGATAGAGTCGTAAATTCTGATAACAATGGCGGCAAATTTAAAATTTTAAAATAAAAACACCTGACGCTACGCACGCAGTATTAAACAAGCGACGATCGATTAGTCTTGGCAACCTGTATCAAGCTTGACGGCAGGCTTAAGTCCCTCTGGCTCGAATTGCTCACCCCTATTAAAACTCAAATCGGGCCAGTCCACTTCTTACGCCTTTGCTGACAGAGTGGCTACCTGGCATATTAAGTAACAGTGGAAGTGTCAACAATGAAAGTGTTACGTAACGATGGAATTGTTAAGAGAAAGCGATGTGCAAGACGTTTTTTTTTTGTTTTTGAGAGAAATCGAACATATTTTTAGACTAAAAATTAATCTGGAAACAGTGGGATTCAATTTTTGCATTTTGTGAAAACAGGTAAGGTTGACTATAACGTAATAGTCTTAATCTTTGCTATCGTTACTTTTGCCCGAGCAACTGCTACTTAAATATAAACATAATCGAAGAATAAGAACTAAAACTGTAATAAAATTAAACAGCATTTAACAATAATATTGTTTCGTAATAATAGGCATTTTATTATTTCAAATAGGAGTGTCCAACAATTCATATGTTTGGAGAGTTGCTGGAATCACAGTAAATAAATTTTTTACTGTATAAGAAAATTATAATAGTAAGAAAAATGGCTTAAAAATAATCTGTTTATGTTTCTCAGAATGCAATGTTCATGAGATATGATGAATCTAAAAGACAAATAACAGGCGGAAAGTACTTTCCATTTTTCAAAGTTATCCAAGAAAAACTAAAATTTAGGTAAGTGTATGTTACATTTAATCATAGAACTTTAACAGTATATAGATGTGGGTTTTTATATTTTTACTGTTTCTTTTAATCATTAAAAATGTTTATTTGCTATAGTTTTAAAATAATTTAGAAATTAAAATAACTGTTATATAATTTAATTAAATTGTTAATTATAATAAAGCAGATTTTCATTATATTTTATTGATTGCTATGTTTTCGTATTAAACAGGAAAAACAACAACAAATCAATGATACAACACTTTATCACTTAAGCACATAAGGTTTGTGGTCAAAAAAACATTATGTAATGCATTCAAATATCAATATTACTTCTTGAAAGAAAATAACAAAAAATTAAAAAATGCAATAGAAATTCACTCTTTGGTTTCTGTAATCAGTCGATCAATTTTTTACAAATATTCAACAAGATAAAAATGTTATCTCCATCTTTGTCTCTAGGAAAAATGGCAGTTTCACTCTATGCGTATCTCACATGCGAAGAAATAGTAATTGTTAACATGAAGACTATATGATTATGAAATCTAAGCAAGATGAACTAAAAATAATAAAAAAGATATAAAATAAAAAAAATAATAAAATTAATCAATGTAAATAAATAAATGGCTAACTCGAGCCATACGCTTTAATAAGAAAACTTCATTCAACTGTAAGAAATTTGCAAGTACTATAAAATCATATATCTCTGTACAAATAAATTGTGAATATACCGATTTCAACAGTTAATAGGACACAAGCGAAATAAAAATAAAAGATATATAAGTTGAGAAAAACGTATTACATATGTAACCATCCATCAGGAAAAAACGGAAGAACATTGAAATTTGAACAATAACGAAACGAAAGGAATTATTTTAAATTCATACTAAGAGGAAAGAAAACTAAATGTAGAAATACGAAAAAATATAACAACTAAACTTAATATATTATAGTCATTTCATGTCTTATAGTAAAAATAATAACAACAAAACAAGATAAATTTATATATATTAGTAGTATAATGAAGGGAATCAGACTCACTAAGTAAAATTCCATTTAATAAGGTTGAAAAAATTATTTGAAGTTGTTATTCCTTAATTTTATATTTTACTGCAAATTATAATTAGCAATCAAATTCATTATTTCAGTTAACACGATTCCAAGAGATATATTAATACAAAGTAAAAAATACAAAAGTAGGGAATAAGAGTAAACTTAAAAAATTTATCAATATATTGTGTCACTGTCATTGCTGTTATGAAATTTTATTTTAAAAATAACTTCTATATTATTAATTCCTTTGGATCTTGTGTCTTGCAAGCAAAAAACTTTTAATTTCCTTCTTCGCATAAGTTTTACTAATTCTCTGCTTTTCCTGTTCAGTGTTCTGATGTTTAAACTACAGTGGAACCTCGGTATACGACTTTAATCCGTTCCCGATGTTTGGACTTATACAGAATTGGACGTATACCAAACCAACATTTCTCAGAAGAAGTAATGTAAAAATGATTAATCTGTTCTCGTGTAAAAAAAATGGCTGGCTTTAAACACCTCGCTTTCCTGGCTAGTTCCTGCTTGATTTTTCGTGAGATCAGCGTGTATCTTTTTAGCTTTCTCGCAAATAATTACTTTCAATACGCTGTCTCCAGCACTGTTTTTCAGTTATCCAAAGCAAAAGCAATTTTTCGACACGATCTGATGTCTTCGATCTATGTTTAAAACTTGATTTAATCCTTTTCGCAACGTTAGCAGATTTAATAATGTCTTTATTTTTCGCGATTGTCCATATTGTCGTCTCGGAATACGGTAGGCAACAGTTAAAATCTCGAACACGCGTGCCACCTTCGTATTTCTCAACAATCTCATTCATCAGTTCCATTATAATTCTAGTTATTATTTTTATTTTTCTGTCGCTTTTCATTTGCCTTTTTGCGATTCGTGATTAATAAAAGTAATAAAATTTTACTTACGAATTAAAATCATAAGAAATTTAACAACGTTATAAACCGTTGCACCGCAAACGTCTAGTCCGGTCTAGTACACCGATAGTGCTACTTGTTCATTGATGGCGCGTATAATTGAATTATGTCGTATACCGAACAAAAGTCGTATACCGAGCAAAATTTGTTTCGTCCAAACAGGACGTATTCCGAATTGGACGTGTTCTAAAGCAGACGTATACCGAGGTACCACTGTATTTATTCTTATACTTGTCTTGTTTATCTTCTGTATCTTGGATTATCTGTTTTATTAGAATCTGTTCTTGGTTTAGTAGCTTCAGTTCATAGTTTTCGGGCGCCATGTCTGTAGAAATGTTTGAGTGTGCTTTTAATTTCCTCAATATAACAGAATAGTGTAGAGTTTGAACATTAATATTTAGGGTTATCTATATGAAACTTATCTTTAACTTGAAAATTATGGCGTTTGCTGTCTATAACAATTACACAAATAAAAATTATATAAAAATGGCGTGACACATGCAATTTTAATCATCAATATATATGATAAAGGTAAATGTGCAATGTTCGTGCCGCTAAAACTGAAATATGTGTCCTGTACGATCAAGGGGGTTATATGGTGTGATAACCCTCTATCCCCCATCAATGAAGAAAGTTTCCGCTTTTACCCGAAGGGCATTTTGTTGAAGTTATAAGGGCTGGATGTTTCGCTCTCTAGAAATTTCTAGAACAAACCAGAACGTTCGAGAGTATTCGAGAGCATTCCACAACACTCCTGGATGTACTGAAACGTTTGGAAACATTCTGGAACATCCCAGATCATTGTGGAACATTACAGAACACTCTCGAATGTTGTGGAATGTTCTGAAACATTGTGGACCATTCGAATTCTTTTTTGTGTAGATGGGAATACCCATTGGTGGAGGTATATAAAGCAAGATCCGTCGTAGATTCGAATGTCAGTTTTTTATCAGTGACGAAAGAAAGAACCGAAAAATAAGTGAAAATTCCAAAGAAGTGCAATGAGTAAACAAAACGAACAGTGAAGTGTGAGTAGTCAAAGTGATACAATGACTGAATATAAATCGAAAATAAAGTGTAAAAACTGTGTAAAGGGTACTTAGTGTATTTGTTAATACAAAGTTTATTTGATTTATATTTTATACAATGCTCAAACTTAANAATGAGTAAACAAAACGAACAGTGAAGTGTGAGTAGTCAAAGTGATACAATGACTGAATATAAATCGAAAATAAAGTGTAAAAACTGTGTAAAGGGTACTTAGTGTATTTGTTAATACAAAGTTTATTTGATTTATATTTTATACAATGCTCAAACTAAAAAGAAAAAGAGCTCTTGCCAGATCTGAATTTTCTTTTCAATATTAAAGTTGATATTGTCGAAAAAAATATTTTTAGTTGCCAAAATTGCCGTTTGAAATAGCCAGTCCGAATAATAATAATTTTAATAAGAGCAGAGCCCAAACGCTTAGGAGTTTAAGGTTGAAATTTGGTACACAGTTAGAGTGTGTCATGAAAATGTACACTAAATAGNAATATGACACATTTCTATATGGATATCATAATAGAATACATTATTATTCAAATTGAATACATATATTAGCAGATACGAAAGAATTTATGACATTTCATATTCATATTCATTTCATTATTCATAATAATAACATTTTAATATATGGATTTCATAACACATTATTCAAATTGATTACATATGTAAATGGATAATATTATTTAAATTCAGTACATATATTAACAGATACAAAATTACTTATTACGTTTCATACAGTCATATCTTGTAAAATATTTGTCATATATTGGTAATGTTATTTTATCATTTANTTATAATAGAACATGCGTGCACTAGATTTTGGCTTTCGGATAGACATGCATGCACTAATCACGCAGTAGGAAAAACCAGAAAAGGACTGATTTACACTGGTTAATTATTTCACAACTATAAGTGTTTTAGACAGTCTAGCTGTCTTTCTTCAGCTGTCATTGTTACAAGTTGTGAGTCACAACTATCTAAATTACTTAAGGTCAGTACTTAATAAACAGTATCATAGACAATTAATGACAGTAACGTTATATCACTTCGTTCGAAACAATGCAATCACTCGAACTTTACAATAAAAAATATATTTAGTATTTTATTATTAATGAATTAATTTATTTATGTAATTTACATTTATTGTAATAAATGTAAGTATTTTGGTCAATCTAACTGTTAGTCTTTTTTCATGCTTGTTTCAATATGTATATTACTTCAACTTTAATTTACAAACATTATGATAAATAATTAAATTAATTTTCTAATGTGCAATAATAAACGTATTTTGTTTATGTACAAACGTGGTTGCTTTTTTATGAATTTTTCTTATTGTGTATAATTTATTTATAAAGTATTTTCCACTGTTTCAATAGACAGTTTAAAAAGTTACTCGTTTTCTGCTTTAAATAATGTAGGTTTTCTTGCAAACAAAAGTATTCATAATGCAAAAGTTTACCCTTTGTTTGGCTTTGTGTGTTTTTTCCCTTTTATATTTTATTCAATTTTTATATTCTTTATTTCTATATGCTTTTATATTCACTACTATTGAGCTTTATTTAATTCTGTTAGAAAAGCTACGTAAAGTATAGTATTTTTCAACATTTTGAATAGATGTATTCTCTGGTTTATGCACGAAAGAAATGAAATTGCATGTTTGGTTTCGATTCATTATAATCTTTGTCACGACAAATATTTACTGCGCTGATTTATTTAAATTTATTAGTATTATCTGTTGTACAGTCTCGAGTTTGTATCTGTAAGTTTGTATGGCAGCTGAAAGATGCCAATTTTAATAACGTTAAGTAAGATAGAAATTAGAAGTTATTATTATTAATTGTTTAAAATTATCATACAAATGGATTTCAAACTTATCAATATTCTGATGTTGTTAACAATGCATATTAATTGCATGTTTGGCACAGGTAAGTTAATGTATATTTTAATGTTTTTGTGTTTAAATCCAAATGATGTTTATAATTAAAT